GAGAGAGAGAGAAAGAAAGGAAGGGGAAGAAAGGAAGAAGGGTGGCGAAGGTGAAGGTGCCGGCAGCCATAGCCGAGGTGGAGAGTTGACTGGAGGGTTGACCGGGCGTTGACCGGAGGGTTGACCAGGGCGTTGACCGTGGTCTTGCTGCGTTGACCGAGCGTTGACCGGAGAGTTGACCGGCGCCATTGACCAAGACTTTGACCAAGTTGGAGTTGGTAACATCTCGCCAAGCCCTTAGCCTACCGCCTCACCCTGTGGATGTGCACTCACCCGGCGGTACTTGCTGAGTCTGAGTCTGAGTCTGTCTGTCTCTTCTTTCTGCATCGAGTCCCTTCTTTCCTAGGTGGTAGCACTCTGTGGATGAAGGATAGAGCTTGGATGACGAAACCCAAGGCTGACCTTGTAGGGCTGAGACTGTGGCAAATCCAACTTTCCAGGGGGGCATAACCCTCCCAAGAACCGGTGCTGACCGGCTGGAAACGGTTGGTAGGACTCAGTGGGCCTGAACGACAGTTAGGGCTGACACACCAGACAGTCTTTAAGTGTTGAGGGCCTGTTTGAACCACTCCCCTACCGGACCAAGTAAGGCTGAGGATCTGTGTCTGACGACTCGACTGTCCCGAGGGATACGAACCCTCCCAAGGACCGGTACAGACCGGCGGGCTGCTCGGTGTGGCACAGTAGGCCGGAAAGGCTGAGTTGTGGGCTGAAAGCACAGGCAGAACCAAGCTGATCACGTTGTCCTGTCTGCGACGTTAAAAAATTATTGCGGAGTTAGGGGGATCTCCTTAAATGCCTCCAGATCAGCCTCTGGTTCAGTAGTGACAGCCTTAGAGTAGGTCTAGGCTAGTGACCATAGATGACAGGGTTCTACCCTGTAGTCCTTAGAGAGTCAGTCAGTCGGTGGTTCGGGTTGGTCTACGTGGTGAGGAGTGGGACTGTCCTGTCGTGCACCTGACACCATGGACGATTACCCGATGTATGGTTTACTTGTTGGGTTCTCCCTCTAGGGGACCATCTGGCGTCTCCTCTTTCCCCTAGGGTTTTGGCACACATTCACCTGTAGAGTAGATATCGGGGGTGGTGCCTCCACCAAGCCCTACACCAAGGAAGAGGAGGAAAAGATGGCCGCCATATTGAAGGAGAGGCAGGAGAAGAAAGAGGCCAAGAAAAAGGCCCTGATGGAGGCACAGGCGGCGAAGTTGAAAAAGATAGAGGAGGAGATGGCCAGAGAGAAAGAAAGACTGAAGAAAGAAGAGGAAGAGAAACTAAAGGAGGTGGAAGAGGAAGAGGAGGAAGATGAGCAGCCACTGGAAAGGAGGAGAGAGCAACGAGGGCAATACAGTGGCAGCAAAAATGAAGAGATGGAGAAGAGGATTTCAGAGTGGGTTGCCAACTTGTCTTTGGGAGAAGAGGAGGAGGTAGCCATGTATATCCCCAAGGACGAGCAGGAGGCCGCCGTGAAGGAATGGGATGCCGAAGGAGATGCTTTGAAGCGGCAGGTGATGGAAGATGAGAAGAGAATGGAGTGGAAGTTGAGGATGATGAGGGAGAAGAAGAAGAGGGTGGATGTGGCAAGTGCAGCGGTCAAAGAGTTGGAGGAGGTGCAGAAACTGAGTCTACAGTTGACCCCTCAAGTGGACCTCCAACGAAAAGTAGAGATCATTGCCTAGAGTGTCGAGCGCTTGGCACGAGTGCAGGAAGAACAGTATGAGTTTAGTCGAAGTCAGGATATGGTTGTGCACTCGATGCGGATGGGGTTTCGAGACTTTGCTCGCGAACTGGTAGGCGCTGTAGGAGCCGAGGTGAACCATCGCCTCGAGAAGACCGAACGATTTTGCGTCGGCGCCATTGAAGGTGTCAAGGCGACAGCCCCCAAGGAGGAGGCAGCACGTCCTCGCAGAGAGCCAGTCAAGGTCAAGTTCCCTGATTCCTACAGTGGGAAAAAGGAAGAAAACTTTGACAATTGGGAGGCCAATGTCAAGACCTATGTGCATCTGCAACAGGTCTCCCCAGGTCAGCATGTATTGATTGCGATCCATGCGCTTAGAGATGAGGCTGCCAGTTTCGTGAGATCCCTAGTCCGCTCTGCCAACTGCAACGATGATGCAGGTGCTTACTCGTCGTTCACCCCCCTCATAGACTTTATGAAGTTGCTGCGCGAGCGATTCGCTGATGTCGCCCGCGGTGTCAAAGCCTCTGATAGGCTTCAAACTATCCATTCTCGCCAATGGAAGAGTGTCAGGGCACTCAAAGGAGTTATGGATGAATGGGTGGTTGTTCCTGACCACGGGGTCACAGAGACCCAGTTGGTCAACCTCTTCTATAGGGCCATGCCCGAATCGCTGCGTTGCCACTTCTTTGCGAAGAGTCAAGATCCTGCTATGACGTACGATGCACTCAGCAGGGAAGTGGTGGCCTTTTGAGGCAAAGTCTGTGTCAGTTTCCACTTTCTGGCACAAAGACCTGGACAAAGGAAAGAAGTGGAAGGGTCGCACTATCTCAGGGCAAGTTAAGACCAAGGATAGTCTTGTCCTTACTCTAGATGAAGGTAGTGTTGACGAGATCCCCTACGAACAGATCGAGTGGGGATTAGAGGATGAGGACAGTGGGGTAAGTCAGGGGAGAACTTATGCTGCTGTCGCGGCTGGAGGGAGGCCGCAAGGAGGAGGACGAGGCCAAGGCCAAGAAGGCCGGGCCTCAGGGGGTCGATTTCAGAGCGATCAGGGGGTTGGCGGCAGAGGCGTAAACCGCCAAGCGGGAGGAAGGGGTCAAGGTCCCCCGCAAAACCGTTTTGGGAATAGGTCGCCTTATAGGAGAGGTGGATGGCACCCAGGGCTACCGCAGGGTAAGCCTTGGGAAGATTTGGGTCTGGACAAGGGCTAATGGCAACAACGTGTGGACCGGGGTCAGTGCATTTATTGTGGTGACCCGGGCCACATTATTAAATATTGTCCTAAGTATAGAGAGGCCCGATCGGCTGCTCAAGGGTCAAATGGCAGCCGCCAGTAGGGGTAGCAACTGCCCCTACCATTAGGCCATGTGGGGAAAATAGCGCTAGCCGGCAGGAGACTCCCACACCACATGAGCCTATGGCAGAGGTTGCAGGCCGGTGTCTARAYAGYTGTCCAGAGACTGCTTGTGTTAGGGTCTCTTTAGACACCTCCCTCACAGGCGTGGCTGAGGAATTGAAGGAGAGGATGCCCGCCTGGGCCAAGATGAAAAAGGAACAGAAAGGACAACTCATATTAGTAGATGTAGAGATGTTCAGAGGTAGAGTAGGGGCCCTAGTAGATTTAGGGGCCACCCGCAGCTATATCAGTAAGAAAGCGCTGCAAAAGTTGAAGCTGGGACTTAAAGTCCAGAAACTAGCAGACCCCATAGTTAGTATTCTCGCAGACAACCGTACGATGGTTGTAGAGGATTATGTAGAGGGAGTCCAGGCGTATTTCCGCCTAGAGAAAGATGGGAAAGTGGAGAAGGTCCTCCACTCCCTAACTCTCCTCGTAGAAGACAGCCTCCCATTCGATATTGTCCTGGGAATGGATTGGGGAGAGGCAGCCGGGGCCACACTCCATTTGAAAGAGCACGAGTGTAGGCTCCCTAGCCCTTCAGGCGAGGCTAAGACCGCCCGCCTGTTTCATGTGTCAGGCGTAGAGAACCCCTGGCACATTGTTGCCTTAGTGCTTCTGCGTTCACAAGGTTAGTGAAAAAGGAGCAACTAGAAGAACAGGTCTTTGTTGCCTATGTTAGGCCAGTGACTGAGCCTAAAGAGGAAAACCCCATCGACCCTGCTATTGCCAAACTGCTGGAGGAGTTTAGAGACTTAGCTGAGCCACCGTCCGGAGTAGTACTGCGGCCTATCCAGCACCGTATTGAGATAGAGCCTGGCAATAGAACTCCTAAGGGCGTTGTGTATAGGATGTCCCCGCGGGAGTTGGAGGAGCTTCGCAAGCAGTTAGACGAGCTCCTTGAGAAGGGTTGGATTAGGCCCAGTTCGTCTCCATTTGGCGCCCCTGTTCTCTTTGTTCCCAAGAAAGAGGGAGAGCTGCGGATGTGTATAGACTATAGGGGTCTGAATGCTATCACAGTGAAGAATGCTGAGCCACTGCCTAGGATAGATGATCTCCTAGATAGAGTGCAGGGGGCCAAGTACTTCTCCAAGATAGATTTAAAGTCCGGTTATCACCAAATCGAGGTGCATCCTGACGACCAGTATAAAACAGCCTTCCGGACTAGATATGGGCATTATGAGTTTATAGTAATGCCCTTTGGACTGACCAATGCGCCGGCAACGTTCCAGCGTTGTATGAACGATCTGTTTAGGCCATGGTTGGATAGATTTGTAGTTGTTTACTTAGACGATATTTTAGTGTTTAGTAAGACCCTCCAAGAGCATCAGGGTCATCTGAGACAAGTCTTGGAGAAGCTCAAACTTCAAGATCAGTGCAAAGAAGTGCGAATGGGCAAAGACCCAAGTGTTGTACCTAGGCCACGTCTTAGACGGAGATGGCGTCAAGGCAGAAGACTGCAAGATCGCAGCGTTTAGAGATTGGCCCACACCGCGTCCGTTGACAGAGTTGCGGTCATTCCTGGGCCTAGCCAATTACTATAGGAAGTTTGTGAGGAACTTCTCCACTATCGCTGCGCCCCTTCGCAGATTATTGAGGAAAAAAAACATCTGGAAGTGGGATAAGGACTGCACGTCTGCCATGAAGAAATTGAAGCAGGCATTGATAGAGTACCCAGTCCTTAAGGTGGCCGATCCGTCCCTACCCTTTGTCGTCACTACGGACGCCAGCCAGTACGGCATAGGTGCTGTTTTGCAGCAAGACGATGGCAATGGTTATAGACCCTTAGAGTTCATGTCTGCTAGGATGCCTTCAGAAAAGGTAGCGACATCGACTTATGAGCGAGAACTCTACGCTCTCAGGCAAGCGTTAGACCACTGGAAGCACTACTTGCTTGGGAGGCACTTCAAAGTCTATTCAGATCATGAGACGTTCAGATGGTTAAAGACCCAGGCCAAGATGACACCTAAGCTTACTAGGTGGGCCGCAGAGATAGATCAGTATGATTTTGAGCTCAAGCCAGTAAAAGGGAAGTATAACGTAGTTGCGGATGCTCTGAGTAGGAGAGCGGACTACTTTGGAGCAATAGTTCACTATCTGGACATAGGGAAGGACCTGCAGCAAAAGGTTAGAGAAGCGTACGCGCAAGACCCTATCTATAGTGACCTTCTTAAGAAAGTAAAGGAGGCCCCAGAGACCGAGCCAGATTACCGCACTACTGAGGGGCTGCTCTTTGAGAAGACTAACGTATTTGACCGATTGTGCATTCCCAATAGCGAAGAAATCCGTAGCCTGATCTTAGGAGAATGCCATGACACAGAGGGTCATTTCGGTTGGCAAAAGACTCTGGCCAATCTAATGCACGCGTACACCTGGCCGGGTATGAAGAATGACTGCGTAGAGTATGTTCGCAGTTGTAAAGTCTGCCAGCGGAATAAGACTACTACGCGTGCCCCGCTAGGTCTTCTCAGACCCTTACCTATCCCTGATCAGCCCGGAGATTTAGTGTCCATTGACTTCATGGACTCGGGTGTCAAGAGAAGACATGGCAAGAGCCAAGTCACGGTGGTAGTCGATAGATTCAGTAAATATGCTATTTTTGTTCCTTTGCCTTGAGAAGCACGGACAAAGTTAGTCATTCGTAAATTTTTTGATCATTGGGTCAGTGAGCACGGGGTCCCATTGTCTATAGTTAGTGATAGAGACACCCGGTTCACGAGTCAGAACAGGCAGGAGTTGATGAAAGTCTATGGCTCTAAGTTGCTAATGTCATCTGGCCGTCATCCAGAGACCAACGGTGAGACTGAGCAAATGAATAAGATCCTGCAACAAGTTCTGAGAATGTACATTAGACCAGATCAAGTTGACTGGGATGAGATGCTTTCCAAGGTAGCCAGCGCTTACAACAATAGTGTGCATCTGTCTACGTGCCGCACTCCTAACGAACTGCACAAGTCCTTTAGACCGCGCAGACCGTTTGAGGGACTTAATCGGGATCAGATCTACAGGCTACCGCCCGGTACTAGGGAGTTCGCTATACAGCACGAGAAAGAACTAGCTACTGTTGTAGAGAACCTCAGGAAGGCCCAACATAGGATGATAGAGCAAGCCAACAAACATCGTCGCCCGTCACAGTTCCAAGTAGGCGACTTAGTCTGGGTCAGCGCGAAAGAGTTTGCTCCTGAGGAGAACATCTCGCATAAGTTACTGCCTACTTATAGAGGGCCATGGCCGGTTCTAGAAGTCAAGGGTGGAGAGGATGGTCCGTCCTATACCGTTGAGATTCCACTACACCTCCACACCTACCCAGTTTTCCATGCGTCAAAGTTGTTGCCATGCACGGTGAGTGATCAGTTCCCGTCGAGACGATCCATGATCCCACCAGACATGGATGGAAGATATGATATTGACGGCATTGTAGGTGAAGATGTGTTTAGAACAGGAGGTAGGGGTCGTCCTCAGAAACAGTACAAGGTCCGATTTGCATATCAGGAACCAGAAGACGACCGATGGTACACCCGAACTGAACTTCTAGAGACAACTCCCGATATAGTCAAGGCCTATGAAAGAGATAAGAAAGGTAAAGGTCCTGCCTTGGACTAAGTTTTTCTCGGAGGACCTTGAATTTAGGCCGGCGGGAGTGGGACGGTATTCACCAGTTCGCAGTAGCTGATACAGATCCCAGGGCTCGATCCCTAGATCCCCCCCCCCCTTACCTCTGTACAGTACCTGTGTCAACCCGTAGAGTTGAACCCGCGACCTGTAGGATCGCTAGTGGTAAGTGGGACGTCGTAGGTTAGAGGGTATAGGGGATTCGAACTATACACCTGTCGGGTAGGAGTCTAGACAGTCCAGAGGTCGTAGCTGTAGACTTTCCGAAAGGTCAAAGTCGTAGCTGCTACTTACCTGAAAGGGCAGAGTCGTAGCTGCTACAGTACCGAAAGGCCAAGTAGATGGTTCTAGAAGTGGCCTTTCGGAGTCAGCCCCAGTTTAGGCAGAGGCAAGTGGGCAAGTGGTGGAAGTCCACCACGCAGAGTCAGCAGTCCCAGTCCAGTCAGTCCGGTCCAGTCAAGCAAGTACCGTCTGGGACTGTGTGCACCGTGGGCCAGGGAAACTGGGCAGACCAACGAGTCACCGAAGTATAAATCAAGAGGCCGCGCACAGCCATTCATTCATTCCTGCGGAAGCCATGTGGAAGCGCTGCCTCAGCGTCTTGTGCGAGGAGGTCTGCAGTGTGCCCGAAGCCGAACTGGGCCGGAAGAGCGTAGCATAGCGATAGCGTAGAGGCAGCCATCGCTGCCATAGCTGTAGTCAGGGTGTGTGTGTGTGTGTTTTGTGTGAGTGTACAAAGTGAGGCGTGTGGGATATCCAGGGTGGTCCAGTGTGTGCGAACAGTTGGTTGTTGGGCGCTGAGTCGCCATAGCCAGTGGAAGTGAACTCGTACCTGGAAGCCATATCTCTGAGTACTGTGTGGCCGCATGTCGCCAGTTTGCTGTGTTGATGTCCACGTGCATGAAAAGTGTGAATAAGACGAGTCTGATTGCAT